ACGAACGTCGGATAAAGAAGTTATGAATTTTTAACGGATTTCCTGTCCCGGTGTGTTAAAAATAATAAGATAAAATTAAAGTCAAAATTAGCTGACAAAGTCTCAACGAAAGTTGTAGAGCGTAATTTTACCTACGCGTGCATATAAAGAACGTCAAAAACAGAGCTCGTATGCGAAAGTTATGGATTTTAGAAGTTTTGGCGCGAAAATCGAGAAAATTCGCATAGTCACGTTTTTGCCACGTCGCCTTCGCTGAAAGAGTGCCACGTGTCCGAAATTGGTGAGTCATGCGAAACCACGTGTCGCCTTCCCTCACATGAACAGTAGATGCGTGTCGGATTCTGATTCGACCGAAGGCAGGCCCAATCCGAAGCTCGCAGCTGGACCGAGCCTCGCACCGCCTTAGCCTCCGAGCCTCGCAGATGGACCACTAGACCTCGGACCAATCAGCAGCTGCCACCGAGGCCTTCGCACGTGCAGTCACCTGCGCACCCTCGGATGCGGACCCCACCACCATTACAGATTTCGGACCCCTATAAATACAAGCGGTATGTGAGCCTTCACGGTTAGATTTGGAATTTTGCCATATTTAGCCCCTTTCTTCATATTTTCTTCATCTTAGCATCCCCCAAAGCCCCGGTATCGATTCTAACACCCGGAATACGCCACGAAGTGCCCGAGAAGCTCGGAAAATTTATCTTTTTGGTTTCGAAGCCCGACCCTTCGCAGAGCCCGGTTTCTCAATAAAACTCCCGGTTTTATTAGAAACGATCGTTTTAGGAAACGAATTGTTGCCCGGTTTTCATTAAATCAGGTGAGTGTGTAGTTACTTTCACCTTACACATAGATATGAAGTATTTTACATAAAATACGTGTTGTGTGAATATATATTGTTTGTTTATTTGAGATGGGTGTTGAAGGAATGATTTATACAGGTTTTTAAATAATTTAAACTGTATATGTATTTTTATCTACGAAAAATGTTGGGTAAAACATGGGTAGATGAAATAGTGGGTGTGATGAAAGGTGAGTTGGATAAAGGAGATGATCAGTAATATTGATCATGAGTTGAGGGTGAGTGGTGAAATTTGAGATAATCACTTACCCAAAATGTTGGCCCCCGTCATTCAGCAGAGTATGGATGACAACCATGGACTATTCTAGACAGTCTGTGGAACACTAGCAGGCCCGCAACCTGTAGGTGTAATGAACTATATGTTCATTTGTTGTACTCTAAAAACCCATTGACATGTATTGCAGGGGGGAATACCTGTAAATAATACTGTCGATAAATGAGAGCTATGAACTTAGCATATGTTGAATAAACATTGGCAGCTATGGACTTAGTGCCCGTTGTATAAACCCCGGTGACGAGGTGACTTTGTGTCTATTCCTTAGGATGAGTCCTTAGGAAGGAGTGATAGTTGATTCTTAGGGTAAACCCCTAAGAAATAAATAAGATAATGGGGTTGGGGTAATTCGGTTGATTGATTGATGTTTAAGCATATTAAATTATGTATTGTGGGTTGAAAACCCTATATGCTTACCAGGCTTCCAAGCCTGACCCACTCAGCTTTTTATGATTACAGCTAGTGGACCCCGAGCATAGTCGGATGATGATGATGATGAGTGATTTTTGGATTATAGGCCAGTAGTTATAAATAACTATTGTAAGGCTTATAATGTCTTGTTTATGCGTTTGATCTGTATCGGAACATGACATCCCGAGGTTTTGTTATAAAAGGAAATTTTATATTTCTTAAAGAAAGGTTTTGACAAACTTTTATCATGTTTTGTTTTGGGAACAAATTCCGCAACATTTTTTAAAAAGATTTCTCTGGTTTTATTTTAAAAAGCATAAATTAAATCGGTCTTTCCTGGCCGAGAAATTAGGGGATGTCACAGTTGGTATCAGAGCATTAGTTTAAGCGAACTAGGAAATTTGTAGGATTTCTAGACTTAAACTTAGAATGCTAAGTGATGATTGTGAGATGAGTGTCTGCCATATTTTAGACACGAGCACTAGTTTATTTTAGGAAAGATGCCTAAAATGCTTTTATGTGCTAAATGATATATGTTTGTCATATATGCCATTATTTGTTCGGATCTATGGTCTGTTGCCGACCGGATCTGGAAACCTTATGTGTGTAGGATTATAAACGTATGACTACGATATTAGAACTAACATATAAACGTTTCGGAGGATTTAACGCCTATCGAAAATAAAGATCTAAATTCACCTACGAATGGTGTATAGATCGAAATGGCGAGTACTTAAAGTGGATTCGGAAAGGATAATCCACAGCCTGAGCCAATCACGATGGCTGGGGTGCAGGCAATGGTGCGTACGATGTTGGATCAACAGATGGAAGAAACAAAACGTTTACTTCAACAAAGTAAGGATGAACTTACTATGCCAGTACGTCAGACATCTGTTCTTGAGGCAACTATTAGGGTTGCTAAGTCTATTGAAGAAATGATCAATGACAGGACCGCCAACAAGGTTGAAGTTGGCAAGAAGAGGAAATTTGAGGGTTCTTCAAGGCCTAATAAGAGCAACATATCCTCAAAGTCGGGCAAAAGAGGAGGTAAAGGAAATTGGTGCGGGAAGTGCAAAAAATAAACACTCTGGGGATTGTGACAGGAAGGTGAAGTGCTTTAGGTGTGGAGAAATAGGGCATTACGCCAATAAGTGTACGATTCCCAAGGAGGTGTGTTATGTATGTAAAGAAGAAGGCCATATTTCTAAGAACTGTCCGAAGAACAATGAAGTAACAAGGCTAAGTGCACCATCAACGCCAAAGGAATTTTAGGATATCCTTGACGAAGCGATTAATAATGCTAGGAAGTGGAAGTAAAGACTTGATACCCGAAGATCAAGTTACGAAGTAGTAATGTGAATAGTAACAAGTGGTTTAGCCTATTAGAGGCATAGCATAGGGTAAATTTGAACCTTTGTGTAATCATTTCAAGGAAATAATATAAACCCTGGTTTTGTCATCTGATGAATGGAATGGTTGGTGTAATTCTTGAAGTTGTCCCAATCGTCTGGAATTTCCATCACCAACCAAGTTGAAGCAGAATTGATGATTGAAGATACGTATGGAAGAAGTCCTAGTAGAGTCTAGGAAAATTTTATGATTCATTGGACACATTCGTATGTGTTAAATTGTTTTGTGATTTTAGGACTTGGGGACTGCGAGACAGTACTTGGGACGAGTATGAGTAGGTATGAATAGTAGTAGAGATCTATACTACTGGAAGCACATGACTCACACTTGGATCAGGGAAAGTCACAAGGTTACCAAGGAGCTAGTAATTGATTCCGTCTTATTCTAGTCTGTCGTTACCATCGTTTCGGTAATGACTAAGAAGATGATTGTTATTCCGACCTTGGGGAACTCACTAAGCATTTATGCTTACAGTGTTTTGTGTTATGTGTTTCAGGTACCAGTGAGGATCGCGGGAAGGCGCCGACATGATCAGTACACACTTATGGAGTTTTTATACGTTTTGATCTTGGGATGTGTTTTTATGGTTTTGACATGTGATACATTGAGATTTGAGAATATGTGTGAATGAAATTACATTTTTAAAAGTGAAAAATTGTTTTGAAATTTACGTTGTTACACAAGTTTTGTAACTTTCAAAACTTTTCAACTTCATAACTTATGAGTTAATGGTTTACTAAAATGAGAGACTTTTCATTTTATTTAACCTATGTGTTTATTAATGGACTTTAAAAGAAAGACTTTTGGTAATCCATAACTTGATGACAAATTATGGATTCCATTAAAACACATCAAGATCAAGAATTAAACTAACAAACTATTTGCAAATAATTCCTATGATCTTCTAAACTCATAAGTGTATGAACATCTATATCAACAATTTCAAGAATCATAAATAAACCATACAAAACATGAAATTTTGATAATAGCCATTGTAAATGGATTAGCATAACCATTACACCATCTAAAACAAGTTTATATAAGACCAAAACAGTTTAGAGTAATGTTTCTAGTCCATTTCCAGCAGCAAAACTCGAAAAACTGCATTCAGGGCCTCATACTCGTCGAGTGCAAGAACCTACACGACGAGTAGGATGAATTAACACATGGACTTGTCGAGTCCCCCCATGGACTCGGCGAGTTCACTCAGTAGATTGCAGTTTTTTGAGTTTTTTCAACAAGTTTGCATCAAGTATCAAGAAAACAAGCCTAGTCTCTGATACCACTGAAGGGTTTATCGCATTCTAACACTCCTAAAGTGTACATGTAACCCTAGAAACCTTGGATCTATGTTTTACTAAGATACATGCAAATTTGATTTTCCAAGGTTCTTAACCTAACTACCATGGCATGGGGAACTTTGAAACATAAATGCTAGTAGAAGAACATAACTTTTTGTTGGTTAGATTCCTTGAGAACCTTGTGATCCTAGCACCTCAAGTGTGATGCCTCAAATGTCTCACACAACACCACAACTCTTGGAATAACCTTGACAGAAGTTCACTATCACTCAAAATCGGCTAGCCCTCTTGTTCTACACATAGTGCCGATTTTGATAGCCCATGAGATCCTTTTATAGTTGTGTCACAAGTAGGGTTACAACATGTAAACCCTAAATGACATGGCTTTTCATATTCCATGATCCATGGGTTTATAACCTCCATGGACTATCCATGGAGCACCTTATGGGTTTTAGCCCAATTCCATAAACCATGGATCATTAGCCCACTATAAAAGAATGGATGATTTACACAATCAACCCCATATATTTAATTAGTCTCCTTTTGATCATTTAATCAATTCCAAATTAATTCTTGATCAATACTAATTAAATAATATTATTAATATATTAGAACTTATAATATATTAATAAACCTTAAGTGTCCTATCTCTCATTTACTCTATCCAAGTGTTGCAATGCCATGCAACCCAAATGGACCATGCCAACCGGGTCAAGTACAATCCAGAAATAGTTATGAACTTAGACACCTAATCCAACACAATGGTATTACCACCTAGAGCAATAACCAACCGATCCAAGTACTCTTGCCTAACACTGTAATTACTTGACTCTCCTGCATCTTCGTCCTCATTTTCAGCAGTATGCCAAGCAGGTTCATCCTCGACATCCAACAACACCTGCAATAAAATGCATAACAACCTGTTGATAAACTGTGACAACTTCCTCATCATACTAGGTGCCCTCTCTTTGGCCTCTGATAGCGTGATCATAAACTCAATGGCTAGGTGTCGTGTGCCCTCTTCAAGAGTATCTGCTTCAGCTATCTGCAACATAGACCCCACCACCTCCACTAACTGCCTCATCAAGAACCTAGGCTCACTCCCTGCCAACTCAATCAACAATTCCAATGCCTCTTGAGCAGTAGCCTCTTGTCTACCATTTAAATCTTTAGTCAAAGTCGTCATCATCGCTGGAAGCAAATCCTGGAACCGATCCCTATCACCGGAACTCGACAAACACCGAATAAAATTAATTACAGGACTCAAAGAAGCAATCCTCACATCTGAGCTCCCCGACTTAGTTAGGCACTGCAAAAAGACGCCATGAAGATGCTTTATTTGTGGAATTAAAGTCTCCCCAATGTATTGTGACAACTATGCAAATATCAAGAACGCAGATTCTTGAAGCTTGGGAGAATTGGCAGAAATGCACTGAAACATAAACGACAACAGTTCCGGCCAACCGTTATCAAGCAGGATACTTGAAGCCAATTCCGAGATCGTATTGGATAGCTTTTTCATTATCGTCTTCACTTCTTGTTGTTGCACACAAGCCAAAAGAATAAATTTAAGTGAAACCTGATTCGTTGGAGATAACCGATTCCATACCAATGAATCATGAAATTAATTACCTAATTAAAAGGGATTAAGGATTTAATTATTTATTTACCAAAATTAATATTGTAAAATGATTGGTCCACACTAATCCCTACATCCACACAATAATTGTTCATCCACATATGAACCTACCTCTCTCTCTCTCTCTCTCTCTATATATATATATATATATATATATATATATATATATATATATATATATATATATATATATATATATATATATATATATATATATATATATATATATAAAAGAAGTTGAAAAAGCTATTGAGTTTAAAAATGAAAAAAGGGACCTTTTTTGTTTTGTTTGAGGAAAGCTTTGACCTTCATCACTAAAAACTTTACTACCGTGGTTCATGCCTTCATTTCCCTCAGTCTCTTCGTCCGCCACAGCCAAACGTTGCTCATCGCCAACGGAGCTTCTCCACTACAAAGTACAAACTTTTTTCTTCCTTCGTCCTCCAGGCTCCATCACCATCATCCTTCCACTGCACAATCAAACGCAACATGAGAGTAGAATTAGGGTTAAAGTTAAGATCCCGCTTAGTGTTCCCTTGCCCAGCCACCTCACGCTCGCCTCCTCTTTTCTTCCACCTGTAAAACCCATCTTCTCACCACCCCTCCTTGTCCCCTTTACGGAAACCTCCCCTTCACCACCGGTCCACCACATCTTCGTTGATACGTGGTCGTTCTTCTGGACATCGAGAAACCTGTCTCTCGATTCATCTGGTCGCATCCATCACGCTCTGGCCGATCGATCTCGTTGCACCCATTACCATCACTCTTATCGATCTTCAAAGGTTCGACCATTTTGAAACATCAAAAGGATAGATTTCTCCCTTTTCCTCGTTGTTACAATTGTTAGATACTGTAGCTGCTCCCTGAATTTGCCCTGTGTTTTATCTTTTTTTTTTTTTTTTTTGGGGGGGGTTAGATACTCTAGTTGTTCCCATGAAATTGCCCTATTTTCGTATAGGGATGTCAAATTTGTTATTTATCGACATTATTTTAGATACTTTCGGTATTTAATTAGTTGTTAGTTTGTTACTTGCTTTATTTTATAAGAATGTGCTGTTGCTGCTAAAATGGTCTCCAAGGTCAAGACTATATCATATGTTAAATGCCATTCCAAATACTTCCATATAACATTGTTTGACCTTGATTATATGTTAAATGCAAAACGAAAAGAATTTTATTAAATGTCCATTCGGTTCATAGCATTGTCATTGTGATCTTTAAATGACCTTGATTTCAAACACTTCCCTCCAGAAAATTCCTTGTATGAGGTTTATGGTTCCATCCGTGTTCAATCATCCCATTTGTGTTGAAGGTAGATATACAATTCATAACTTCAGTCAAACGGGTTTAGAAAGTTCCATCCGTGTTCAATTAGCCAATTTATTATTTAAACTTGCTAACTTTAACTTCATACTTAATATATAGGTTTTCCAACGGGTTTAGAAAGTTCACATTATGTTCAATTCAAGTCATCAGTTCTAGGTTTTCTGTCAATTTTTAATTTACATTTACTAATATATCATGAGTTTCATATCGAGGTTAAATAGCTTAGTTCTAAAATAAATATCATAGAAAATTTACATACACAAATGAATATCTAATATCTTTATTAAATATAATATCGCAGTTTGCTATTGAGGTGTTATATACTTTAAAAAAATTAATTTAATATATTGAAATGATAACGTCTTAAAACAAAAATTGCAAAAAATAAAGTCCAAATAGAAATTAATATGTAAATAAAGGGAGTGTCATGTGAATAGAAATATAGTTTCAGTGTTATTTATAAATGAAAGACAGAACAAAAGTAGATGGTAGGAATCTCTCACCTGTCACCATTTTTTTTTCTGCAATAGGTTATTCCACCAGGCACTATAAATCTGCTATCATCAAATAATGGATGCCTTCTTGGAGGAATTTGAGCATCTTAAAATCCGACTGGAAGATATAAAGTCAGCCACATACAATTTTGATATGAGCAACATTATCGGAAAAGGTGGATTTGGGATGGTGTACAAAGGAGTACTCTCTCACTTTAAGGAACAAAACACAGTTGCCTTTAAACGTCTAGATCGTAACTTTGGGCAAGGAGACCCTGAGTACTGGAGAGAGATCCTCATGCTTTCCCATTACACACATAAAAACCTCATCACTCTCATGGGATTTTGCGATGAGGATGGTGAGAAGATCCTTGTGTATGAGTATGCATCACGTGGAAGCCTCGATCGCCATCTGAGTAGCAATACTCTCACTTGGAGGCAACGTCTCAAGATATGTGTTGAGGCTGCAATGGGACTGTGCTATCTTCATGATCCCAACGGGACACAACACAGAGTTATCCACCGAGATATTAAAAGTTCCAATATCCTACTTGATGAGAATTGGAACGCTAAAATTTCTGACATGGGATTATCGAAAATAGGACCAGCTAATCAGCAACACAGCTTTCTTGCCACCAATGTTGTAGGTACCTTTGGGTACATAGATCCGACGTATGCGGAGAAGAGCATCTTAACAAAAGAGTCTGATGTGTATTCTTTTGGTGTGGTCTTATTTGAAGTGTTGTGTGGGAGACTATGCTTTGTGAATAACAATGGTCATTTTGAGTGTTTAGTGGGAATGTGGAAAAAAAGCTACAAACAAAAGAAAGTAGATGCCATTATGTTTGAAGATCTGAAACAAAACATGGATCCAGATTCTTTGGAAATATTTTCAGACATTGCCTATCAATGTTTGCAAAAATCTCGTGAAGGACGGCCAAAGATGTTACATGTTTTGGAACAGCTTGAGACCGCACTTTGCTCTCAGGAGAAGTTTGAAGAGGCGAAACAAGCAATGGACTATGAAGAGGAACTAAAGGTGTTTCTCTCTCAAGGAATCTCCGCTAACGGGGACGGAATGGTAATTAGCTATCTATAAACTGCTGCCTTACATTTTATATATTCGTATTGCGTCGTAAATTGTAATTTATGAAAAGTATCATATTACATCTTAATTTGAGGAATTTGACATGATTAAATCCAAATAATCTTGCAAAGCATAAATTTCACAAATTAGGCCACCAACAATGATGTAACAAAATGATTTTCAACCCTACCACAATAAATAGCACTATGTCACCTGGATCTAACGCTGGAGCTGCTCATGGATTGGATTACCTTCATATTCCCATGGCTACACAATATAGAATCATATATCTTGATATCAAGAGCTCCAACATCTTATTAGATGAGATTTGGAAAACCAAAATTTTATATTTTTGTTTGTCCCAAACAGCCCCTCAGGCAATCGAATATGCGAACTCAAGAGTTGACATTTACTACTGATTACTTTTACTTGTTTTACAGTTTGTTATATTGGAAGATAGCTCTTCCTAGTTAGAACACGGATGATGCTAGAGATTATAAAAATGCATTGACTTGTTATTTATATTTAATGTACAGCAAGCAGCATGCTTGGATTTCAGGAAGCTGAAACACGGGTGCGAGCATTACCGTAGGCGATGCAAACTCTGTGCTCCTTGCTGCAACAAGGTATTTTGGTGCCACCATTGCCACAACAATTATACCAGTGCGTTAAACGACCCCAAGGAAAGGCACAATATTGTCCGGGGGGATGTTCAGCAAGTTGTTTGTATAATTTGCAATACGGAACAGCCAGTTGATCAGATTTGTGGTAATTGTGGAGTGAAAATGGGGGAATATTTTTGCGGAATTTGCAAGCTGTTTGATGATGATACTTCAAAACAGCAATTTCATTGTAATGATTGTGGGATATGCAGACTCTATGGTCGTGAAAACTACTATCATTGCGACAAGTGTGGATGTTGCTATGCAAATGACATGCGTGGTTCCCACACTTGTGTGGAGAACGCAACAAAAATTGAATGCCCGGGATGCCATGAGTATCTCTTTGAATCGAGTAAGATTATTACATTGATGTATTGTGGACATACTATACATGTGGATTGCTACTCCGCGAGGTTGAGAAAATATATAACCAGCTGTCCTATATGCAAAACTTCGTCCCTTTTGGACAAGAAGGTAGCCAGGATTAAACAAGGAGATTGATTAACTCTTGTCACTCATTTGGAAGAGGATGTGTTATATGGCCACCTCAGCCTACCGACTTTCACCAAAAATTGTATCAGCTTTGCATTTTTGTTCCTAATTTGTAATAGAAGAGTGCAACGAGGAAAATAATTTGTATTTTGGCTAAACCATAGTACTGGATCATGATAGATGGATCAAAAAATAATGGCTAATATTACTTATGGATGCAAAGCTATTATAGAAGCCACACCTTGAGTGGCGGAGCAAGAAATTTTGATAGAGGTGGGGATACAAACACGGTCGAAATTCAATAATATTAGCTTAAAATCCTCTCTAATATATGAAATTTTTTTTGACACTTAGTCATACTCTCATTCAATTCGCCAAATATCATTTTTTTTAGTTATTTTGAATTAATTTTTTTTCACATGTCATTTTATGAGTTTTTCTATTTTATTAAATTCCACATAATATTTTAATGTAATAATTGTAATAAATGTATTAAAAAATGGATATCAATTTCATAAATGAACTTATTTTTTAATTTCGAAATTCCCAAAATTAAAGCTCAAAAATTTCTTTTATTTATTTAAATTTAAAAGATAAAAAATATTTTCATTATACTAATTCATTATTTTTCTTATTTTCTTATAAATTCAAAGTTTTCAAATATTTTGACCTTTATATTTAACTTTTTTTTTAAATTAACCCATATAATATATAAGTCTCACAAGCTGTTCAGGGACAACCATTTCTACAACAAAGCCAAAACTTGGGGACAAACTTTTTCCAAAAAATCAACGTTTAACTTTTGCCGACACATTACCATTTATGTAATTTACTATAGATTTTATTTATAAAACTAAAAATATATTGATAATAACAAAAGAATAGTCAAGCTTATATTATGTTGGTCTTATTTGGAGATTGTCAAGGAGATCTATTTAATACACTACTAGAAAATCTCTTAATACATACAACACAATCCGTAGGTATACGGCTTTACCTACGGAATTGCGACGGAAAATGTGCCGTAACATAATCACTATTGGGTAAATGTTAACGACGGAATTGCAACGGATTACCTACCGAAAACCGACGACACTTTTGCGTAGGTAATTTACCGATGGAATACCTACATAAATTAATAGCTACGGATTACCAACAGAGGCCACTTTCACTAACATTGCCTATAGATTTCCGACGGCTCGCATTACCAACGGTAAATGTGTCGTAACATAATCACTCGTGGGTTGTATATTTCAACAGAACACACAAATCAAAATCTTCACCTTACCAAGAAGACTCAATCCAATCCTAGTTACTTTGAAGGTGAATAAGATGGTCCAACCACCACCTCCACCGCATATGGCCACCGTCGGTTACCAGGTCGCCGCTGACCACTCATCCCGCAACCATAGTCACTGCTTATCTATTCCTGCTGCTTCTTATCTTCTATATTTGTTTGAGCACAACACGCATAAATGTGAGGATTTCTTCTAGTTCCTCAACCACCTACACCAACAGTGGTGGGGATAGCGATTGTCGATTTCAACAATCGTAGTGGAGTTCAAATCGGGTAAAGGGAGATCATAGAAATCGGGAGCAATACGAGTAATGTATGTGTATATGTATATTTGTATGTATATGTATATGTATATGTATATGTATTTGTATATGTATATGCATATGTATATGTATATGTATATGTATATGCATATGTATATGTATTTGTATATGTATATGTATATGTATATGAATATGTATATGTATATATATATATATATGTGTGTGCATATGTATATGTATGTATGCTATGTATGATTATGTAAGTATATAGATCTATACCGGATTGACTATCCTACACCTTGCTGCTCGCTACAGTGGGACTTGCAAGTCTACGGGTGCCAAATGTCGTTTCTTACGGCGTCTTACATCGTCGTTTTACTAGAGTCGGTAGCAGGATACAGGTTGGTCACAGGTTACTTTAAATATCAATTGGTTTAAGGTAGTTAGTACAGCATTAGTCACTTATTACAAATACTCCAGTACTATGATATTTTTCCATTACTTTCACTTCGTGAATATCCACACGATGCACGGTAATGTAAAAGCTATATTTTTGGTTAATGATAGTCGTACTTGGGAAAACACACACTCTTACAAGAGACACACACACAGATACTAGATGCCTTGGTAGAAGGCTACAATTAGTAGGAAACATAGGGTTTTCTAGGAGAGTTCAAACATCTTACAAAACATCTTACAAATACTTTCATATAAATTCAGACACTAATATACTTATGATCTCACCAGCTTTAAAGCTGATACTCGCTTTCAAAATAACTTTTATTCTCAGGTCACCAGTAGACAGGTACAGGTGCCAGGTTTTGAGAAGACGGAGTTCGTTCAAGACTCGTCTTTTATTTTGATATGTATTTTTGGTGTCTATATAACTTGACAGAACACACTTGTATAAAATTATATTATTAATGCAATGGATGATGTTGTTGCTTGTTTACTACTATTCATTGTTGTGATACTGTACATGACGTCCTCTGCCCCAATACGTTTCCGCCGTTCATGCAATTTTCATATACCATACAAGATACTAGTTAGGGTAACATACCTTTTGTGTAGCTTTACGTCATGATGTATTTGGCCTTAAGAGTTTAGTGGCCCAAGTGTTGCACTTCAAATGGAATCACAACTCACCTAGGACGAAGGTGACTCTTGAGAGAGAATTCCATGCACCAAAACACCTCCATATTTCTCTAAGAAAAGAAGCATACGTTTTTGGTCTTGAAGCAACATATTTATATGGTGGATTCCAAGGGTCATGGGTTTAACCTAAATCTATACCCATAGGTTTTGTGATCCATGGTTCATGTGGCCCAACTCTTTATGTATCCATACATAAACTTGTTCCAACATGGATCATAAGCCCAACACATATAAATATAACTAATTAACACGGTTAGTCCCCATAGATTTAATTGGTCTCTTTTGATCTCCAAAATTAATTCCAAATTAAATCTTGATCAATACTAATTAAAACATATGATTTCATATTAATATATTAGAACTTATAATATATTAATAAATCATATATAACCTTCTCTCAAGAGTCCATCCTGACAAACTGTCCCGGTGTTATGTAACCCAAATGGACCATGCTACTCTCTGGTCGAGTACATACCAATAATAGTTATGGGCTTAGACATCTAATCCAACAGTCTCCTACTTGGATAAGTCTAAAACTATTATTGCAAATATGACTCCAAGATCCTGACTGGAAATCGTAACTCTTAAAAGCCGTTGTCGAACTCTGACCTAGTTAATGACGTGTCCATTAGATAAGGGACCATATATTCCTCCATTCTAGATATCATATGGACTGAGACATGGAATGGATAAACTTCGACCAAAATGCTCGCTTGTACTCACTCATCAAATTACATACAACAATATGTTTTATAACATCCAAATTACTGGTGCGTTTACATATGTCAATGTGCAACCGACTCACAACTACAACTCATACGTCTCCGTTTGAAGAATATAAGATATTATTGACTCACAACAACCGACTCACATATGTCAATGTGCAACCGACTCACAACCACAACTACAAGCCACTTATGTACTAGATTCTTATACCTCTTCTCTCGCGTAGATTTAATGGCTGAATTCCACCTTCCCGGAGACCCGTACTACCCCAACCACTGAAATGCAGGATGGCTGGAAGGAGAACCAGAAGATGATTACCCAATCCCTTTGGATGATCATGAAGCTGAAGGCTTTTCTGATGGTTCTGACTAAGAGCCAGAAGTCAACAACCTACCTCCAGCTGATCAAAACCCAAACCCTCGTCCAGCATTTCAAGGACCCACACCTCTGTGGGCCACGAACTTGAATAGATGGAGTCAGGAACAAGGTCAACCTATCCCCTACAACAGAGACAGAAGCTTCTACAACCTTACTGAGGGAGGTTCCGCTAACAGAGTCCTACCCATCATAGTTCGTAGGATTGCTCGGAACACAAAGCAGAGTCGAGCAGCTATCGGCCGAGTCGTGGAGATTGACGCCAACTCTGCCGTTAACACAGTCCGCATTCGCCAGCTAGAGTCTGCTCATGAAAGGACTCTGGTCCACAATGCAGCTCTTCGGAGGGAACTCACTGAAACTCAAGCTGAAGTCAGGGAACTTCGAGCTCAGCAAGCAAGATCTGATAGGCGCGTGAGGGACATAGAACGTCTTCTGTCAGGATCAAGAACTCACTCTGGTAGTTCTCGTCGCCGATAGATTCTCATCAACATCTCTCTTTTGGATATAACTTAGTTATGTAAAACTCGGGTCTAATTCCATATCTTTGTAAATCGTAGACCTGTTAGGTCTTGGTTAGGTTTTAATTCTGTCAAAATTTTCCCATTTTGGTTGATGTAAGGCCTCTTTTTGTTGGCCGTTTTTCCCGAACTTCTTACATCTGTAATTCCAGTATTATTGACAGGTACCTAATCTTTTGGGAATTATTATCCAAATGTGAGCATCTATTAGTTCTAGATCTACATTCAATCATACTGTTGAACTATGAAGAGTTAGTCCATGAGTCATTCTCATCAATTCTTCCATCAAATTCTTATCAATGTTTTTGTCCTCATAAACTTATAGATCAAAGATGCCGCCGCGTAGGAATCCAAGGCAAAACCCTAATAACGAAACACCGATACCACCACCTCAACCACCTACTCCTCAGTTCGACACGACAGCCTTAAATGCTGTTGTAGCTGCAGCTGTGGCTACAGCCATGGCTCAATATCATTCATCTGGTTCCACTGGAGGAGGAGGAACTCCTGTTCAGTCTATTCAGGTTGAAGCTCCTGTGCGCTTAAAAGAGTGCTCTTACAAGGACTTCACCAACTGCAAGCCATTGTCCTTCAAAGGGACTGGCGGAGTCATTGCCCTCTCGCAATGGTTCGAGAAAACCAAATCGGTTTTCGGAATCTGCTCCTGTCCCGAGGAGAGCAAGGTGAAGTTTGCTGCTTGCACCTTTGAAACAAAAGCCCTAACATGGTGGAATAGCCATGTTAAGTCGCTATCTATAATAGTGGCAAATGCTATGGGCTGGGAAACCTTGAAAGACCTCATGATTTAGGAGTACTGCCCGAGGGGCGAGATCCAGAAACTGGAGGAAGAACTGTGGAGCCTAACCATGAAGGGCTCCAACGTAGTCGCCTACACCGCTAGATTCTGTGAGCTGGTGGCCCTTTGTCCCAACATGGTTCATA